TACAGAAGTCAACAGGAGAAGAGTAAATTGTACCGTTTTTTCTCAAGTACCGGAAGGTGAAATTCACGGTATATGCCATTAGCTCTCTCGACCAGACTTGTCTGGGAGATGTCGATGATGTTATAGACGAGACGTAATGGGACCAAGAATCTCTCTGACTATTGCGCCTGACCTTACGTACTACTGCTTTAGCCTGTTTAAAAGCTAAACGGTTGGAAGTGTTAGGTTAGCGGCGGAAGATGTTCCACAAGCTTTTCTACTCTTTATAAGCAGCAGTGCCTTCCGCCACGGTTTCCGATGCCGAGGAAGCGAACTTGACGACTTTGGTACACTATCTTCTGCCGCTTGTAAAATTATAGACGTAACACGATCAACAGCTGCACTTACAGTATTATGTGTGACCATATCATCCGTGATCTGAGCAAATAAAGGCCAATTAACTCGGTGGTATATGATAGTTGATTGTCTTGGGCTCATGGGAACAGAAGCAAAATATGAAATTATACGAGGGAAATGATCGCTGTTATGAAGATCATTACTCACTGTAAAGTTAATAAAAGGTAATCAAGTTGGAGTACATAATGCTAAATAAATGGAGTGAAAGGTTCGCGTCGGTATATGGAAGTAAGTTTCTTCGCCTTGATTAAGTAAACAGAGACTAGTCCCGCAGTGGACTGATCATTAAGACACGGTTCCCAGCAGATCACCGAAGTCAAGCATCACTGGCTACGGTCAGTGTGCGGGTGGGTGATAACTTGAATCAGCCTGCGTAGTGACCGAGGGTGTGCGGTATGGGTCCTCGTTAAACTGTTCTACCGTAAAGTGCTCGACTTCGCGTTCGTCGGGCTACCGAAGCGGGGTGCCATCCCCTCTGCAGAGGATCAAAATTGGGAAGGCATGTCTTCGGATCATCCTCAGGGATGTTCCCCAGACCGTCTCCAATAGCCCATTGTGCAGCTCTAGTGCGACGTAAATGAACAACAACAAGTAAACAGAGACTATGGTCATAGATGAGTAGTTCAATTTTACTTCCCCGGTCATTGGAGTAGGAACTACCCCAACATTCACTATGACCATTAAGATCTCAGAGCAAAATAAAAGGCGAAGGTGACTAAACTATCAGTGAATTTAAATCTGATTGAGAAACGGGTGCATGAGGAGGTAGGTAAGATGTTGACTAATAGCAATACGCCCATGAATCACCCCAGAAGCAGCTTCCACCCTTAACAAGGTGCCCAGTAAGTGACCCCGAACTTGACCCTAGCCAACAGATGACATATGTGACCAGCCGATTGATGCATAAAGGCCAATATGCACTTCCCGTTTATCTGAATCAAGGGCCAAAGCAGCGTGTTGTGGTACCAGGATGCCCCTCAGCTGCCAGGATCCCCTTTCCCAGGGACACGGGTCTCCACGCACGGCGAACACGCGTGTGGTCTCTTCCCATCAGGGTTCGATACAACAGGGTGGTAATCGAACACAGACGAAAAGCCCTCACCTGTAAATTGGCAACCACGACAAGGGGGAAGAAAAAGGAGAAAATAAGAGTAAAGGGAGAGGAAAACGAAGGCACTACAGATCACTAGGGTACCCCGGGGCGTGACTCCCTGTGTTTACCTAAAGAAGGTAAACCCCCTGAGGGGAGGAATAGCACGCTATTAAAGAGTGAATTGTTGCAACAAAATAAAACTGTACTTCAAAAATTTCTCTTATCATTCTGAAAAAAAAAAACAGATTTCAGATAAAATTTTACCCATTATAATCAGCACAGAATAGTTTCTCTAGATAAACAAACCAGGCAAAATAATTTTCAGCTTGTCAAGTGTCGCTAAAAATATATTGTGTGGCATGGAAGTCTCAGGCATCCAATTTTCGAGGGTGTGCTGCAATTAAATTACAGTTACAATAGCTCCCAAACACTCACATTCGAAGAAAAAATTAAAATGTATTTTTTTTGATCTGCTTAAAAATGATTATGCAAATGATTAAATTTTTTAAAAATTTTCTTAGTTCAAATCGATGATTCCATTTTTTCTTTATCTAAAATGATAAATATAAAAACACATAACATATGCTTTAAAAATTATTTATGGATAAATGGTTAAATATAATGCATCAATGCCACTTAAAGTAAAGAAAATATAAAAAAGTTCATATAAAAAATAGCGCCCACTACTCAGCAAAGTTACTTGGTATCTTTCAGGGTTACTAATTTAATCCAATTTGTATGAGCTATGGTATTGCTACTGGTAAAGCTATGTCATAGCTACAGGTCAGTGGCGAGGCAATGCTTAGCACCCTCTAAGTTAGAGGTTGAATAAAGATCTGATTATCTTAACTTGAAAAGTCATAGTTCAAAAATTCCTAAGAGTTCTATCGAGACAAACAATATCCAGATGACTCGACAAGAGTTTAGATATCAGAGGTCTGAGCTTGTGGCAGTTATTAAAATTAAAACCTTTGAGAGATAAAATATTTTCTTTCTATGCCTTTTCTAATATTTAAAAAAAAAAGAAACGCATTTTGAGTTCATGATTTTTTATTATCTATATACAAGGATACATTTACTTAAAATATATTTTTATGAAAATTGGAAAAAACAATTATCTAAGTAAAAAAAATAATTTAATTACATACGATTATTTAAGTATTATAAATTTTAAAAATAGTATAATAAATTTCTTTTCTTTATTTTTATAGACATAAGTTTCTAGCGTTGTTTGTATCTTTCCTGTTTCGGTGCCTTTTTTCAATTTTTATTTTGAAACAAAATAGTCAAATTTGGCATAAACTTTTAATAAATGAGTGTGCGTTCACCAAATGAGGAAATTATTTAATATCATAATTTAATTCAAAATTCTTTAAAATAAAAAAAATTAAAGGTATAAATAGGTTATGAAATCTTTTGGGGCATTTAATTTATTCATAGAAGTGATATTCCGCTTTCTATTAAAGTATGAAGGTTATAATAAAACTATCCAATTTTGCTAGTGTGCACAGAAAATATATTCTCAGCTCATATACAATGAAACTTACAAAGATAATGTCATAATTCTCATAAAAACATAACTTACATTTAAAAAAAGTCATTATTAAAAACTAATTCATATTAGGCAAATTTGCTAGCAAGAGTTATATTTTTTTAAAAAAAAAATACAATTTTAATTAAAACAAGATCTGAAAGAACAACAAATCTTATGACAACAAAATAGTTATATACTATTTTGTTGTGTTAAGAGTTTTAATAATTTTTTGTAAAATTGTTTGAAAAAATTTAAAATAGTTGCATATTTATCTTCTCTATTTGATTTAAATTAAATACAATTTTTACAAAAAATTAAGACAAACATATTTATAATGTATTTACACACATAACTTTAAATGCAGTTTTTAATTGAAAATGTATTTCTGTTTATTCAATAGAAACTTTTTTTTCTTAAACTTGCATAGTATTTTAAAAAAAGAGGAGTATGATAAGGTATTTCATGAAAGGAAATTCATGAAGGGAAAATAAACTTTCGCTTCTCTTATACATAGCTTTAAAATGGTAGTTCAACATCTCTCAAAATTGAGGCAAAAAATAATTTGTGAAGTGAACTGTAAAAGCAACAATATCATTAAACCAATGTAATTTTTAAACTACAAAAATTATTATGATCATATTTTTCGCAGAAGCAAAATGAAAAATTAAAACTATCAGTTTAGAAAATCAAAAATTAATATAAACGTTAAAACAATTTTTCTTCTTGCTGACCTAAAACAAAGATCTTTCAGCATAAAACTGCTGAAAGACACTGCTGCTAGCTGATACAAATCCTCATTAAAACTGATTGAAGAAAATAATTAACTACTAAAAAAATCACTTTTTAAATTCAACAAATTTACAAATGAAAAGCTTGCTGAACTTATTTTAAATAAGTTCAGTAAACTTTAAATTTGAAATTTTTTACTCTATTTTTTTTTTAAAAACAACCTAATAGCTAAAAGTATATTTTCATTTAAAAGCTTGATTCTCATTCTACATATTTTATTTCTATTCAGTATTCAACGAGATTTGCTGATTACAAAATAATTTGTTATTCCATTCATGGGATGATGAAAAATTATGTCTTCATCTCAGCTGGTTCGTTACTTATTTTACTAATAATTAGAATAAAAGTAAAGCATTCCTTCAACAGCCCTTTGTGTGACAGAAGGTTCATGGAGGTTAAGGCTTCATAATGTGGTCAATATTGGGCATAGTTAGTTTTTACCTCCCAGACAAATTTGCACCCATCAACCTGAAGCTGGGTGAGCTTCAGGCTGCCACTAGTAATCAAACCCCAGTTCAATGCCTAATGCATAGATCAATCGTAGCTCATTGATTAGAATCAGTACTATATTGTTGAAAAAACTAACATATTGTGAAAGTATTTGCAATAAAATAATTTTTTTATTAAAACAAATTAATTACTCACTTATTAATAATTACCCACTTAAATAAATACTACAGACTATCCGTCAAATAAAAGAGAAAACAAACCAAAAATGAAGAAAGAGCATCAGGCACTGGAGATACATGGAACCCAAATTATGTTTTTAATTTTAATGCACATTTTAAGTTAAGCAGGTAAGTCACATTGCTTGCAAAAGTCAAACTAGCACAATTATTATTTTAGGAGTATCAATTTTTTTCATACTATTAGCTTGTACAAGGTGTCAAACAAAGGACAGCCTCTAGTAACAAAATTAAAAAGGTCAAAAACAAGAAAATGAATTGAGTAAAAAAGTATTTTCCAGTGATAACGAAATTTAAATTATTTTTAGTTTAGTATTTTTCCTTTTTAGTAATTATTCCACCACTACATATCCAAAATAGCGTATGGAATGCAATTTTATTGCATTTATCTTGTGGTGACTCTTTTAAAGAGGTTCTCCTTAACAAATTATTGGTAAATGCAAATTTAATTGAACAACAGGTAAGAGTGTACCTATTTTTTATTTAAGAAAAAAAAAACACATTTTAAGCAAAATGAAACAAATTTATTCAGCTATGTGCTACCAAATTTACAATTCAAATAAATTATCAACTAAATGCTTTGAAAAAGATATATATATATTTTAAACACGAGCTTTTCTTCACAACAGCAATAGTACAAACAACAAGGAAAATCACAGAATTCACAAATGAAATGATAATAATAATATTATTGAACATTTTAAAAAATGTTATGCCATCACAACTGCAATACAAAGAGACAGCTTGCTTTAACTTCCAGAGAAAACCACATAAAGAACAGGAAAAGAAACATATTGCTTTCCTGGAATAACACATATTAAACACACACCACATACATTTAGATATTATTTTAATATCTTTTAAAATAATTTTAATAATAAACAGTGATAAAAACAGAGATAATGATACCAGCCAATCGTAAAATTAAACAAAACCGTTCTCTTCACAAGTTATAAAAAAATAAATATGACTTAAACAATTACTTAGAAAACAAAAATATTAAAATAAATAATATAATATGAAGTTAAATGGATATGATGCAATTGAAGTAGTAAACAATTAGCGATATAATCACAAATATAAAAGAGCACCATGTTCTCACATACATATTTTTAAAACTAATGAATTAAACCACAAATGTGAATTTTAAAATTCATCAACCTTAAGCACATTTGTAGCAATAACACACAGGATAAACTGAAATAAAAATTAAAAAATACAAGGTATCTAATGGTAAGGTAAACATTCCATTAGCTATAAAACATATTTGGCGATTTAGAGTTAATTTCGTAAACTGGTTCGTAAAATTTTTCGTTAAATGTTATATTAGACTTGAATATTTTTTTTTCATTTATTAAAAATGAAAAAACTTAAGAAATTTTTAAACACCCAGTGTTCAAATTTATTAAAAAATATTTTAATGTTAGTAAATTTGCAAATGCACTCTATTTTTAAAATGTCTACCAATGTATGTTAAGAATATATTTAATGAGAAGCTTCTTAAAGAGCACTTTAAGGTTGTAAAAAATAATATGAGTACACAATATATAAAACTCCAGTCATACATTAATAGAGCAGATGAATATGATCATAAAAGCTGCTGAACCATTTAGATAACAGAGAGAAATTTTAGTACAGTACAAAATAAATTGTGCACTGAAATTTCTATCAGTATTTAAGACTTTACCACAAAAAGTATATTTACTTATTTACACTTGAAAGATATACCATTATAAAATTGCATATTTAACCTTCTGAGACCCAGCATCTAAAATATTGGACAACATTTGGTATAATATTAATGCTTAAAAAATAATATTTTATGCTTTTTTTATATTTGTATGCCTTTAACAAGAGACTGACAGGGTTGGGTTTTTACCAGTCAAAAACCAGCTTTCAGCAGTAAAAACCATGGAAAAACCCTAGTAAATACTATTATAATGGGTTAATACCCAAGTTTATTAATTTATAGATATAGTGGTTTTGTTATTTATAACTGAGAGCAGTATACATTACTTCCGTATTATAGCTAATATTAATAATTAGTTAATAATCATTTATCAGATAAAATATATTTATATATATGTATATCAGCCAACAACCATCAATTTAATTTAAAAATCATAGTTATAAATTACATTATTATATCATATCACTATATACCATAACCTTATTACAGCTGCATTTATATACAGAAAATAATCATGAATTTAGGAATTTTATAAAATTCGAACTTTATAATTTTTGGAATTTTATAAAAAAAAGAATTGAACAATATTAATAAAATTTTTTTCTTGCTTTTATTTATAAAAGAATAATTAGAACAATAAAAATCCCACAGTGGGGATAAGGGTACTGAAAAATAAAGATTCATCTTACCTATCTTTTGTCATTTATTTTTATAAAATTAGGTTAAGAAAAAAAAATTATTTTACTTATTAATAAGTAGTAATAAGTGAGTAAACCAATTTAATGCTAAATGACATTGTTTTACCTTAATACTGTATTCTCTTCTACACACTACACTTTAACTAATATTAAAACTCAAATAAATTAATAACTAACAATAAATTGCCAAAATATAAAAAATATTTGCAAATTGCTAGGAAAAAATAAAATGAAGTGCAATAGCTTTTGACTTCACTAATAACACTGATTGTTGATCTGAATAGTTAGCTATAAGGTGGAAAATAGATGGCATGATACATTGTGACCAACAAAAGTAAAGGCACATTCTTTTGAAGTACGTAACAAAATTTCAAAAAATAACATAGGTATTTTTCGTTTAGGGATTAAGACTACTAAGTTAATAACTCCCTACAAATGTTTGCAACATAAACATTTTGGGTTAAGATTGTAAGAAGAAAACAAAGAAAAATGATGCTTTGTTTCTTACTTTTCTACATTGATATGTCTTTTCTACATATGAAAATGTCTTTTAATTATCTCTATTTCGAGTAATATTGCTAACTTAAACACAAATATTTTATTTTTACAATAGCGGAAGGCTAGTAATTTTTAACCAGTAACAAACAAACATTTTTTAAAGTTTAATATTAGCATTTTAAATGGGATCTCATAATATGTGATTGTTATATTAAGTATTATGAAGTCATATTATTGCTCTATAACAGAAAAACATATAAAGAAAAAAAAAGGTGAAAAAGGGCCGATAAGGACAAAATATATTTTATTAGGAGTATCAAAAAAGTTTCGACCCTTACAAAATTTTTTAGAACATTAGTTCTTAAAATGATTATATATTGCACTGCAATGTTACAATAAAAGCCTATTTTATATGTTCCGAATTCTAGTTTCAATACTGGCTTTATGTACGCTTTTAAGAAGTTCACAGAAATAGCAGAAATAATAATAAATTTTTTGGGGGATGTGAAAAATGTTAGTTTGAAGTTAATACTTGGAGAATGTTTTTTATCATGGTAAAAACAAGTTCTCCCAAAACAGTAAAAACCATGATAAATACTGGTAAAAACATCCCATGGTTAATACCATGCCAACCCTGGAGACTGTCTACGTAAAAATATTATTGGTTTTACTCTCGTAGGCCGGAATTTTTAATTACAATAAATAATTATAAGAAAGGTTAGAAGTTAGATTTAAGTTACCTTTTTAAGAGTTTTATGTTAAGAAAAGCCAAAAACTAAAAATTATCATTTCTTTATGTAACAAATAAATTCAAAAATAATAAGTTTAATTAACTGAATTTTATAATGGATTTTTTAATCACAATTATGAGTTTATTTTCTTGTAAACTACATATTTCTAAATGAAATTTACATTTTCGATCATTATTAAAAACTTAGGTCTCAGTGGATTAAATAATGATTATGATAGATCATCTGGTGGTACACGGTCAGGATATGGTTCTTTAGGAGATGGAAATGGAGGAATCACTCTTTCATCTTCAGGGCCACCAACGGCTCCATCGACAGTTGCAGGAGATATATTGGCTGGAGCAACAGTTTCTAAAGCACCATCAGCTGCAGCAGCAGCTAAATTAGTTATTGATTTACTTTTCACACACTGAAAGTCTACATGTCGACTTTTTGCTTCTTCCTTTTCCCATGACATTCTAATGAATGGCCTTTGAACATAGTTATAAATGACTTCTGCCCTGCCACTAGGACGGCATTTCACTTTTTCCTTATAAGTAGGATAACCTAAAAGAATCAAAATCCTTGTTACTTGAGCTTTTAAAGAATGTCAACAGCAAATGTCAGTAACAGCTTGAATGTTAACAGCAAATAAGGCTCACTTTGAAAGATCATTTATACAGACCAACAAAGTGATCCAAATTAAAAAGAGGAGCTGAATTTTGATTAATTCTAGCATAAAAACTCTTAGCAGGATCAAAACTAGCAACAGTCTTGGTGCTTTATTTTAACTTTTTGATCATTTTACAAAATTTCAGAAATCGTTCAATAACACAAATGCACTTTGCATCTATCAATAAAACTTGCACACCCAAACATACTTAAGAGTCAATAGATTTTTGGATCATAGTGTATAAAAATTTTATGTTGTCTAAAACAACATACTTCTAAATTATAAAAGAGATACTAGAGCAAAATTGATAAAATAATTTCTGAGGTCTAGAAATTGTCGAATAAATAAATAAAAAACTGTATCCAAAAAGTTAAAACAAAAAGAAAAAAGTTAGGAACTGATTAAAACAAGTTATGAAATAATAAATAAAAATTGATTTTTACATGAAAATATTTTTGAGTCACGAGTCTTATAAAATAGTGAAAAATGTTTTGTTTCATACAATTAGTTCTAAAAATACAATGACATCAACAAAAAGTAAAAATAAATATCTCTTTAATAAACTAATAATAATAATGACAATTATTTTCCATATCTATTAAATTAAAAAAAAAATTATTTAAGAAAATACATCTTTGTGTTATATAAAATGCTTTTTGCCAGATCACTAAATAAGAAAAGTTAGGATATGATCAAGTTAGTCAAATTCAGTTTCTTAGATACTATTTTTTTTAGAAAAAAAGGAGAAGAAACCAAATTTCTTTATATTTTCTTCTTCATAAGAGTGCTACTATGAAAATGCTCTAATAAAAAGCTTGCTTTTCATGACAACTTAAACATCAAAGCTGTGAGAAAACTTGAACATTAAATCAGCTTCCATTACAAATATCAATTTATAAAGTTTGTATTAGCCAATTTCAAATTAAAGAGCTTATTAATGATAATGAAATATAAACAAAATTTTAATTTCATTAATATTTAATAGAACAAGACATATTTTAAGGTGATAAAATTAAAAACATCAATGATTGCTACAGTTTTATTATTTGCATAAAGCCTAAAATTTGGATTTCAGACAACGTAAAATAAAGTTTCTTACCTTCTATACCAAGCCTTATCTTTTTCAAACCTCTTTCCTTTAAAACTTGTTTTGCAACGTCACGATTTTCAATATATTTAAAAAATCTGTAGAGAGCAGTGCTATAAACAACTGAAAAACATTGTCTTACATTAGTATGTTTTATAAAAAATATGCATAATGTTCATGTATGCTTAGCATTAGCATGTTAGCTCATTAAATATTTATTTTGAATGTAAAAAGTGCTAAGAAAATGTAAATAGATATTAATTATAACCCTTACAGCAACAACTAGGTATCCACCAGGTAGTTGGTATAAAAAGTATAAATTGGCATCTCATATATTTATTTATGTTATGAAATACTTTGTCATCTGGATAATTTTTAAGAAGAATCCGATATAATTATTGCAAAATTATTGCTTGCATTTAATGCTTATGTCTACTTCATAATAAAATAATCTAGATAAATGGTTGAGGGCATAAAGTATAACAAAGTATCTTATTTCTAGTCATACACTAACTAAATAGACATCTTTTAAAAAAAGTCTAGTAAATTTGAGAACATCAAGTTTAAATTTTGTTTAATGTATTCAGAGATTTTAATAAAAAAGTATACATTACTTACATATACAGTCCTCCAAGAATTTGAAATATGTTGGTACCTTTAAAAATGTTTGGTAGCCAGTAAATAGTAGGTTTTATTAAGTAATGTTATAAATTAGGACGTTACTTCAAAAATTTTGAGTCCACAAGATCTAAAAAAATTAGCCAAAAACTCACAAAAATTACATTATCGATTTGCAGCAATTTTGTCAGGAATTCGCATGTTTTTTTTACTCTGAACACCCTAATTGGGAAGATCCTTCCTTAAAATACAATGAACTTTAACTTATGCACTGGCCTAAGGGACCAACATAAAATAGTGCTTAAGTGAAAAGCCGATTCAAAATTCTAAAACACAACATAAATTGCAATAAGACCTGAATAAACATGTTTCTAAAGATTAAATGTCAATACTTAGAATGACTTGATATGCAAGTATACCAAGAAATTTTTTTTAACATACCTAATTACAATTTATTGCCTTATAAAATAATCTATAATAGATATTTGTTTCTTGTTTTGGCTAAGAATTTTAAAAACAGTTTTCAAAGTTCATACATAATAAGAAAAGGGAGTTACAGTAGCTGAATTAAACTGCAAAAAGTCATGATAGTTAACACTTTCAAATGATTTGGTAGAACTTTTTCACCCTCTTTGTCATTATCATCTACGTGATTATCAGCCATTTTATTAATGATGTGTTCTCTATCTCCCAATTTCATTATTATCAACAACATCAACAAAATCATTAAAGGAAACAAATCCATCAGATACAATTTGCCACTTGTGATCACTAAGATTGGCATCCCAATCTTCTTCAACTATGTTGATTTGATCACTATACTCATTTTCAACAGGAAATAGAAATTCAGCTTTTTTTTTAAACAATTGCTTATGCTAGAATATTTAATACTTCTCCATGATACCACATACCAGCATATCATATTCATTGAATCAAGAATTGTAATTTTTGCATCAGCTACAGCCGATTTGCATGTTTCTAGTTTGGCAAGATATCAATGAATCAAAGTTTTCTAGTAGTGCACTTTTAAACAATGGATTACACATAAATCCGAAGGTGTAGCAAACTTGCACAGTGTGCAGGAAAAAAACCTACTTTCATGTAAGCAAAACTTGGCAGATCTTGTGGATGAGCTGGACATTGATCCATAAATAAGAGGAATTTCCTTTCTCCATTTTATTCTCAAATGCATGTAGAAAGGGTAAGAAAATTTTTGAAGTCATCCATGCAGCTGGATTGTTAAAGTACTCGTACAGAAGCTGATGCTTGTTTTTGAAACAGTGAAGTTTCTTCGACTTGCCAATGATAAAAGAAAATTTTTCTGATTCATCTACAAACACAAAACAGTTAATCTTTCTTTACTGTTTTTTCCATCGTAGCAAGGTTTCCTATTAAATGCCAATGTTTTTTTAGGCATCATCTTGAAAAACAAACCAGTTTCATCATTATTAAAATGTCCCTAGTGGTGTAACCTTTAATTAAAGTTTTTAAGTCCTTGTTCCATAGCTTTACAGTTTTTTGTTCACATTTGCACTTTTTCTAGATAGGGTATAATTTTCTATGCCTTGCTGGATTTTCAATTACTCGCTCCATCCCTTGAATACAGAAAAATTTTCAATGTTCAAAATCTATGTGAAATGAACAGTTTTCTGTCTGAGCAATTTATTATTAGTTTCCGGAATGTTAGAATGTTAAAAGTTTTTTAAAAAACAACTTTTTAAAGCAGATGTAGGAGTTTTAAAATGATCAGTTAAAGCGTTTTTAGTGGTTGATGGATTTCTTTTCAAATTTCTAATGACATATAATTAAAAAATAAAAAAAACTAGATTTCATTTTTTAGCCATTTTTTTGAGTAACAAATCTTAAATTCTGCACAAGTTTAAGCTATAATTTGACATATTGGAAAACATTAAGCTTCTGGAAAATAAAGTGCTGTAGCTGTGAAAAAAAAAAAAAAAAAGAGTTCGCGAAATTTTTTTTCAGTGCATCTTGTTTAGGTTAAAAAAATTCTAGCAACTGCAAAGCAATTGCTAGGATGCAGTGAGCTGGAAATGGTTCCTACAGACTTAAAAACACTAAAGCTATGCAAATTTATTTCTCACCATTTCCCTATTTCCATTTGGTTCCACTTATGGGTGAAAAACTAAGCTTTATACCAATTAAATAATCTCAATGTGATAAAAAGTTAATTGAATCATGGAATATAGAAGTTATTTGGATTATATCAAAAATTATTCCTGTGATTACTCACTTTGATAATAGTTCACTTTATTTACTTACTACAAATAACTCAAATAATTAGAGGAACCAGAGTAGATAACAATACGGAGACAATCCAGCACAGTTTCCATAATTTGAATATAACTTTAACACCTACTTGTGATGTTACACCACGGCATGTACTTCATCTTTCACTTGTCGTGATGTAAAAGACATAAACATTCTCTCGGAAACAGCTCATTACTTTTGGACAGTCGATATATCTTAAGCTGCATGTTGATATGTCAAATTTTATTCTGTATTTTTAATTTCAAATTTAATACAATTTTATTAATCGTTATGCTAATATTAAATCCCTTCTTCAAAGTCTTTATTGGTACAAATTATTTATTTTTACTACTTAATCAAATTATAATTAATGCCAAAGATTACTTTCTAAAGTTAATAAGTAATAAACTCAGTTAGGAAATTCTAAAAGTGCCTTCTAGTCTATATGGAGTCATCTGTTAAAACGAAACGAAATGGGTAAATTTTCCCTTTTGGATGACGTTTCATAACGTAAATTACGATTGTAAAAATTTCATACTCAATTTCTTTTTAGAATCCCTAGATGAAAAAATGGGATTACCAAAAATTGTGTGGCTTTCTCACGATGTAATTGCTAGTAAAATTGAGGCCCTAAACACCCAACACCTTAAAAGAGGAAATCCTTTAGGTATCTGTTTTGAGATGCTAAATAAATGTTTGAAGAAACGGATTTGTCTGTTGTTTATGGAAATTATTTGTTTTCTTCTACAAATAAGATCTCTTAATCTTATATGTATATATATATATTGTAGCGAATTTGAAAATATATGCATAATTTTTGTAAATATTCTTTTGTTATTAGGCCAAATAACTCAGGCGGACCCTCAACAAACAGTTTAATTAGAAAATTGCATAATTCTAACAGATATTAGATAAAAAATAATGCTTAAAGTATTTCTTATGGAAAACTTGATTTGGCGACATTTTTGCAGACTTGGCAATAATTTTGGCGACAAAATGAAAGTTCTGGAAAATTCGATTTCTGAAGTGATAGGACTAATATTTATGGAGTTGCCACAAAGGCGCAAAGCTGCTAACGTTATAAATTATAAATAAAAAATTATATGAAGAAAATGCAAATTAAAACAAATTACTTGATATAAATCCAGTTCACAACATAAAATATTTACAAAATAAAGAATAAAAATGGAAAGCACTGACACCACGGCACTTTCATTGGATCATTTTGAAACATAATTGAGTGCCTGTCTACATTTTAAATTGATTAGTTTGGTTTTATTTACTTTTTTCAATTCTCTTATTAAATTTATAACTTTAGACATTTAACTCCGAATTTTGTTGTTTTCCATTTTGGCATATAAACTAATTTAATACTCAAACTTGCAACATTTGACCCTCATTCAAAAGATCGAGTTTCCCTTTAGTCAAATATATTATTTTCATCAGATTTTTTCCTTTCTTGTTTATTAATCTTTTTTGGAGCAGTCTGGGTATGATTGTTTGTGGTATTTGGCCATCAATGCAGAATTTGCTTCTATATTGATAGCATGGTAACGTCCCATTTTTAATCTTTGTCCTGTAAATATATTTTCTACTGTGCAGTGTTCTTACACTAGTTAAATAGTTCCTTCTTAAATGATTTTAGAATGAAAAGAAAATATTTTACATACATATGAAAACTTTTAATTTGGTCATACTAATAAGAATATATATAACGGAGTCATTTTACAACCAATATGCAAAATATACGTGGTATTCTCTAACTCGAAGTTGTTGTACCACCCAGTTCTGCAGATAATTAAGAGGCAACTATATTCGTTATATTTAGAAACAACTGCGAATATTTAAACCTAATGTCTTCTTTGATCATATAGGAGCAACATTTGAAATACATGAAAAACTTTATTCACAACTTATTTTATAATAAGTTTGAAGACTGCTATTTGAAAGCTTTACCTCAAGAATAAAAAAAAATGCTTTTCAATGCTTACTTAAATTTCCTACAGTTTTGGTATTTTAGAAAACTCTTATTTTGCCAAGAAATTATCATTGTATCTTATAAACTTATGCTATACATTTGTTCTGAATTTTTTCGCAGATAAAAATATAAGGATAAAAAAGATAAATATGTCTGTAAATATTGAGACAAGTTTCATTCAACTTTCATGGAGTGTTAATCATTACGATAATTTTTTGTCCATACTGAATTTACAGTTATTGGTTACAAGAATAAACTCAAATTAGAGGAGAGATAACCAATAGTAAACTACATTCATAAAGGATAAATAAAATAGGAGATGTATCTTAAAAAAGTTCATATATGTTCCTGAAATCATGCATTCATATTCATTGCAACTAATAAACTGAATACATTATCCAACAAATAAGAAGTATCCCTTTAAAAATTTAAATCAGTTTCAGAAGTCAAATTTGAGCAATGCTTAATTTTTTGTTTTGTTTATAGAAAATATAATCATAAACAAAATGAATTCACAAACATGAAGTGCAAAGAACAAGGTAAATTTACTTTGTGAATACTCTTCACCCATTTGTGGAGGATAATCAGTATCCCAGTCAACTATATCATCATCCAATAGAACAACAATATGGCATTCTCGATCTCCACGCTAAAATAAGAAACAACTTATAAGTACACTAATATACAAAAATTTATGATGAAAACAAATATGTACGGCATTAGAATAATGATATTTTTTCATTAGTCAGGATGTTTATGAAAAATATATTTCATTCTATAAAATAAAATATTTTTTAAACTTGCTTATGTTGTTATAAAATACAACATATTCTTATTACTTGATAAGAATGAGTTCTCAAATCATACTACACACACACACATATATATATATTTGAAAGAATAATTCCAAAAATTGAAGAGGAAAAAAATACTTGATATATAAAGCTTGATTGATTTTTGAGCGCATAAAACTGTTTTTAACTCAGTTTTACTACATTCATAAAGCAAATTAAGTTTTATATCATCAAGTATGATAAATTTGCTTTTTTTTATTGTAAGTTTCAGTCATACTATTCTCATATTGTTAAGTCATCTATATAATGCAGCAATAACATTTGCCACAAACTCAACTTAAAAACTACTTTGCACTCAGCAAGTGTGTGTAAGAGGCACATTCACAAACTAATGCGTCACTTTAATTCCGTGCTTCTATATCTGGCTTATTCTCCTAGAAAGCATTGCATTAATCCTCTCTAGTAACATACTATCAAACTACTAGACATATGGAAATTAAACTAAATATGAATTAGAGATCAAATTGATTGTAAAATGAAATCCAGGCCTGTTGACTACTCCAGGCCACTTAAGAACATTTTTAAGGAAATCTCAAAGTTAACAATGATGGCAGGTTTGAAATGAAGCTACCTTGGCTTCAATTGCACATAGCAATATCTTTCAGAGGCAACTAATTGTATTGATCAAATATATCTGGTAATGCACATGTGCTTTTTTTAAGATATGTCACAATTTCTGGTTTACAAACTCTGCCAGCCATTTTAAGTAGTTCTTTTATGCAATCATAAAGTTCATGCATTAAGGGTCCTTCATTTTGGAAAAATCTAGTACACTTGGACAAAACTGTAGAACAAGCACAGACAAACTTAACTCAGCTTTAATAAGTGGTAGTCTTAGAAAAGAAACAATTTTTTTTATAACTTGTAGAATCTAACTTTTTTCCTGCAAGAGGTATAAATTAAAAAAAATGATGAACAATTCCACCCCAAAGTTCCAAAATTCTAATAATGGTTGGTTCTAAAGTAAGCCATCTTGAAGTTGAATGTTTGATAAAGTAAAGGTTTTTAAGCTTTTTTTCAACCAAAACAGTTCGAAAATCTTTTCTAGCAGGCCATCCATCAAAATAAATAATGCAATAGCTAAATCAGAAGTGTTAGACCCAAAAACATTTAAACCTTTTATAAATGTATTATGTAGCAAAATCCTATATTTAGCAACGCAACTCCTCTAATTGATTTTATTTCTTCATTTATTAGATTAAATATGGCATTGTTAACATTAGGTCCATCACTGGAAAGCATTAACAAGTGTGAAAAAAGTCAAATCTACATTATTTAGGCAGATTTTAGATGTTTTATTACATCTTCTGTCTTTGCATGGCCTAAGAAAAATGTCTTAAAGTGATGAGAAAAAACTTATCTTTTTCAGACCAAAAACGAACTCTAGTATGTCTTTGAAACTAGTAGTGTTTGTAGTTGCACCAAATTCTAAAGTATATAATGAATTTTTAATGTTCTTCAAAAATTCATTTCTGAAATAGGGTGCTAATGCATTAGTGATTAAGTAAGTTGCTTTAGATGGATTAAGTGAAAAGTGTTTCATAGTTGAGGACGGAAACATACAATTAAACACCTTATCTATGTCTCTCCAGGTAAATTAGGATATTAAAAGAAATCATTTTCAGGCATCAAATAATTTCAGCTTTCCAAGCTTGATCCTTAATGCTCAGCACATTTAATGATAAGGCACAACCAGATAATGCAAGTTCGTTGTAATTTTTTTGCTGTAAAATTTGACTTAGGTTTATTCAATTCAAAATTCCTTTTCATAGCATAAAACCCTTTATCAATATTGACAGGCATCATATTGCACACCACACAAATCACATTATTTTCACGTTGGACACCCCAACCAGACACAATATGCCCGTCAGAGTCCATCATACCAAGCCATTGTTTTAAAAATTTACATTTCGCCATTTCATAAAAAATTTAAGTTTTGAATACTCTAAATAATTTTAATAAGCAAATGATCATATTTTCAAAACAAATTATTTACTAAAAAACTAAGCATTGGGCATAAAATATGAAATCGAAATGGTTGAGCTTAAACATGTGCTAGTATTGGGGAAAACGTTATCTCTTGGTATATTACGAAGTTTTAAGTTCCTAACTTAGAGCAAATTTGGTTAGCTACTAGCTCTCATTGATTTGAAAATCATCGATCTTTAACATGACATCACAAATGAGTGATTGCATGAAAGGCTTAAGTTCCTAACTTAGAGCAAATTTGCTTAGCTACTAGCTCTCACTGATTTGAAAATCATCGATCTTTAACATGACATCATAAATGAGTGATTGCGCGAAGGTGGAACTACTAAACCAGTAAAAATTAAATTATTTTTGATAAGTTGCAATTTTTTAAAAAGAGAAATGAGTAAAATGAGGTTATTTTCAATCACGGGTGCACTTTCATGGTAGTAATTTTTTTTGCAGACTTTTGGGAAAATTGTGGACTATTTGGGAGGCCTGAAGATATCATCTAAATAGTGTTTAGATGATCTTTTCTCTCCCAACTACTCTAAATAGTTTTTAAAGTTCAACAAAAATAACCTAACTAACCTGTGCAGATGATACCATAACTGGAAGAATAAGATCATCTAAAAATCTTTCAAATTGTTGTCTGGCACCTTCATTAGAAAGTTCATGTAGAAAACCTCCTATTAAAAAAAAAAATTAAGAAAACAATTTTAGCACTCCTTACTAACTGAAACAGAAAACATAAGAAATTTTTTTTAACAACATTCTTTTATAATAGAATAAAATCAATGTAAGCATAAAGAGAAGAAAGAAATGAAAATGTTTACTCAAAATTTACTAAATAACTGAAAGCACTTTGAAATACTTCTAAGTCTGATATAGATAACTTAACTATATTTATGTTTTATAACTAAAGTATTTCATTGGCTTAATGAAAAATTATTGAAAAAAATAATAACCTTTTAATTTTTTCATTGTTATCAGCTTGTGCTATAAAATGCAAAAAATTGTAGAAAACTTCATAATTTTACAAGAAATGTGGGAAATAATTATTCTCTAACAAAAGAAATTTCTGCTAGAAAGTTCGGGGTTTACGAACATGTCAAACAAACAGTTGAAAACACAGCCTATTACTCCTACAAGTTCAGTACATTAATAATTTCCTGCATTGTATGGATTTGTTTTAATAAGCATTTTCTTACATATCTCTTAATATTTTGCAAAAGAATATTTTTCTAAGAATCCCATTTCTAAGTGTATGTCATACAGGACTTTTTGTGGAATAGCACAATTCATTTTTTGAACAAAAATTATTTTAATTAGTAAAACATTTCATTATTTCTCTTTTCCACATAACAATTACCTTTCTATATAACTTCAAATGGTAACAAATATTTATACACTACTGCCATTAAAATTGCTACACCAGGAAGGCAACACACCACAAATGTGAAATTTGAAGGACGGAGAAAGTATGTTGTGGTATGCAAATGAGTAGCTTAACAGCGCATTTATGCAAAGCAGGCGACGATAGTGACACCTACAATGTGTATAAAAGAAGAGATTTAGCAGTAAGTTTCTCATACAGAAATTGAATTTGAGCATTGTTCTTGGGTAAAAAGTTTTTGTTATGCCTCGTGAAAGAAGGAGAAATGCCTGCCAGCATGTGTCTGAGTTTGAGGTCGAATTGTGACCTACCGGGATTGCGGTATATCATACCAAAGTATTGCTACTTGCGTTGGTCGAGACCCCATGACTGTTAGCAGAATATGGAATCGATGGGTTCATGACGGTCATATGGGACGCCGTGCACTATCTCAGCGGTAACACCCGAGAAGACAGACATATTATCCGCATGGCCTTAAGGGATAGTACAGCTACGTCACAAATCCTCAGTCAACAATGTTTGCAGCAGCATGGAATGCCAGCACGACGACAATGGCTTCGGCTACCCTTGACACTGCATCACAGGCAGGAACGCCTCCAATGGTGTGATTCATCACAATAGTGTGATTAATGACAAACTTGGAAGCAGGAGTGGCATGGCGTAGTCTTTTCTGACAAATCCAGGTTCTGTACACAGCATCATGATAGCTGCATCCGTGTTTGGCGACATCGCGGAGACCGCCCATTGGCAGCTTGCATTCGAAATCATCATACTGGCCCATCACCTGGAGTAATGGTATGGGGTGCCATTGGATACACGTCTCGATCACTTCTTGTTTGCATTGACGGCCGGCACTTTGAACAGCAGTCATTACATTTCTGATGCGTTAGGATCAGTTGCTCTGCCTTATCTCCGAGGTCTCCATAACGCTACGTTTCAGCAGTACAATGCACGACCGCATGTTGCCTGCACTCTCCTGACCTTTCTTGACACAGAACATGTTCATCTGTTGCAATAGCCAGCCCGTTCTTCTGATCTCTCACCAATTGAAAACGCCTGGTCAATGGTTGCTGAATGACTGGCACGCCACTTCTTGTCAGTCACTTCGACCCATGAATTCTGGCATAATGTTGAAGCTGCATGGAATGCTGTACCCCTCCATGCTATCTAATATATCTTTGACTTGATACCGAGAAGAATAACTGCTGTTACTGCTGCCATGGGAGGCTGCTCTGAGTACTGATTCCTTAATATCTATACATCCAAATATCCTAAAAATTTAATCACTTGTTCTTCCAACTATAATGTATGTGCCCAATAAATATCATTCTGTTATTTGCATTCCTTCGTGGTGTAGAAATTTTAATGGCCAGTAGTGTATAACAGTTTAAAAATTTTGCTATGTTGAATATAGTTAACTGAGAAATTTTAAAAAAAAATTCATGAAATCTACAATCTAAAAGAATAGAAACAGAATTTCTGATAGACTGAATTAAATACAGTACTTAATAACATAAGAATATGACGGAGTTAAATTATGTCACTATCTAAACAAACTATGAATATCTCAAAACACTAGATAAATTAACACTAAATTATTAATTATTAACTAATTAAAAATTAGTGTTAATTTAGATAAATTAACAAACTAGATAAATTATTAACATTCCATGCTAGATAAATTAACAAAAAATAATATTTTTCCTACTTTAAACTATATGTATTAGCAACATTTTTCTTTATCAATTGCATACTTCATAAACGTTAAGCGAATACATAAAATAATCTAAACACTAAAAGTATTTGTGAAGTTAGCCATTGCTAAGCCATTATCACATTATTCCAATATTTATCACTTTAAGATTATTGCATAGACAGAAAAAGTAAGATGCAAACTTTTTGTTGAAATTTTCAAATCTTAAAAATATCATTAATAATGAAAATTATCGTGTAAAAAAAACACTATTTTTAACAAAACTGCTATTTTGATAAGTTTACAAATTAAAATTAAAAAAAGAGATAGCACAAAGTTTTTTTCTCTTTTTTAACATGACATAATAGTTCGATTTATAATATAATTTTTTTAAAATAATTCTCCATTGATTACATGAAGAACAAAAAATCAATTAAACAAAAGCTAAAGCTCTATTTAATGAAGATTTTACACTAAAAATTTGTGTTATTGTATTTTGAGAAAGAAAAGTGAACAAAGATGCATGTGCAACATTCAAGAAATATGGTTATTAACAAACAGTTTATAAGGTATAGGAAATTAGCATATTCTATAAATACATCTAAAAAACAATTTATGAAAACTGTTGCATTCTTCTTCAACCTTAATATTTGTGTTCAATTTTACTGTAGTTCAATTGTGAATAAAAATTAACCAATGTGAAATTTTGTTCAGATGCATTTGAAAGAAAGTAACATTTAAAAATAAGTATGTTTAAAATAAAAAAAGAAGAAATAAAGAAAACCTTTAAGCAGAATGAAAAAAAAAATTCCTAAATGCAGGAAAATAATTAAACTTACTTAAATTATGACATTTTACAGTGTTAGCATCAAATGGAATAAGCAAATAATCGCAAGCATCTCTGAGTTCAGGAACAGATACACTTGGAGGACAATGAATAATACCAGTTGTGTAATATTCCTATTTTAAAAAGGAAAGATAAGAAAATCAACTTAAAATTATTTAAAACATTAAAAACTAAAACACAGAAAATTACAGGTGAAATAAATAATGGGCAGTAATGAGGATTTTTAAAAGTTTGCCAAAGTAAATGTGATCTAACAGATGAAATTTAGCTTTATAAAAAACTATTAATATATATACAATTTATTATTATATGGTAGTTTAAAATTCTTATGTATATAATAACTTAATGTCATACAGTTAATAGTAAGTTTTTTTTTAAAAATANTCGCCAAAGTAAATGTGATCTAACAGATGAAATTTAGCTTTATAAAAAACTATTAATATATATACAATTTATTATTATATGGTAGTTTAAAATTCTTATGTATATAATAACTTAATGTTATACAGTTAATAGTAAGTTTTTTTTAAAAAATAATAATGCATATGTAGAACTGAAACATTTCAAAAATCAATCACCAAAAATCAAAACAACAAAGCAATAAGTTTTGAAGTTAATAATAAAATTCCTTGTTGTAGTATATTTTAATAAAAACCCAACCCTCAAAGTGAAAATCAGAAATATTAGCGCTTTTTAAAGAACAATGTCGATTTAATTGGTAAGCAATATATAAATGATATATTTTAACATTGTCATAGTTTAAACTAATACTCACAGAAATATCAGCATTTGTTTTTCTCAACTATTGCTTATAATGCAAAGGATATAGTAAAAGATAAATTGTTAAAATAATGTTTAAATAGATGTTTGGCAACAGCTGTAAAGAGTTTGTGTGTTTTTTCATTCTCTGAACAATTTTTATTTTTCAAAGTTATTTTCAACAAAATAGTAATAAATAACAGTGATAAAGTTTTCATATAAATAGTGTCAATACATTAACTGAAACATGTTGGTAATAACCTATTAAGTGCTAAATTGTGTAAAATAGCTTGAAATGCATGTAATGAAAATATAATAAACAAGATATAATTCAATATTCCAGCAGCTGCTATTTTTACTGTTGAGGTTTTAGTGAAAGACCTTTCAGTCTCACCAAAGGAAAAAGAAATAGATGGAAATGCATAAAATGTCAAGATATGAGTCCAAAAACCAAGCTCAATAAACCAATTCTCAGTGAGAACCTCAGAAAGAAATTCCAACCTAAACAGAATGCAGAAAACAAATCCTGAAAAAAATTCGTCGAGCAAAACGTGTAAAAGAAATTCTGAACGCACTTGCAAAATTGGAAAAAGAAAACTCAGAACTAAACCCGCCCCCCTCAGAACATTTTAACACCTTAACGATCGGTTAATTTTCAAGAAAACGGTCATAAAAGTGAATTTTTTTTTATTCACGTATTTAATTAGTGCAGACGTGTAAGCAAAAACACGTTAACATTAGACATTACATTAGACATTACACGTTAACATTAGACGTCAACATTAGAGCAAAACGTGTAAAAGAAATTCTGAACGCACTTGCAAAATTGGAAAAAGAAAACTCAGAACTAAATCCGCCCCCCTCAGAACATTTTAACCCCTTAACGATCGGTTAATTTTCAAGAAAACGGTCATAAAAGTGAATTTTTTTTTATTCACGTATTTAATTAGTGCAGACATCTAGTTTAAAATAAACTATCTACAATTACCATAAAAATATCCTGGTACTGCCATCTGGTGTGTAAGATGAGAAATAAAATGCATTCTGGGTAAAAGAACTGAACTAGTTTTATTCTTATTGGCACGTTACTACTGAACACTCCAGCCCGGGAATATCACGGGAGTGAGAAGGAAAGGGTTAATGAGTATTCGAAAAACTTGGACTTTTAAAATGCATTCAAATTAATTCATATTCATATATTTGAATCACATATCAAATCTAAAAAAAACAATCACCAATATAAAAAATGACATGCAAACCTTGAAAAAAGGAGCTGTTCAAAAACTCTAAACGATCTGAAAAAGCTAATTTAAAAAAAGAAAGAAAACCTGGAAAACATGATAACAGAACTACAACAGTATTCATGCCAAGCATACTTAGAGCACACAGGCTTACCTAAGGGTGAAAATAAAGACATAAACAAAACAGTTGATAAAGTTTTGAACAGTCTAGACAGAGTGCATAGCCATATTATTCAACAAAAAAAATAAGCACCTTTTAAGCACTTTTCAAGCACTCAAAAAATATTTTTAAGCACTTTAAAAAAATATCATATTTAGGCAGGGTTGGAAAGTTTTTGACAATTGACGGTTTTATCCTGTTTTAACTGTCATGACAAAAAAAAACCTTTTGGCATTGTTTTTGACAATTGTAAAAAATCATGAAATTTTGAATCATGTATAATGAATGGCGTTTCTATACGCTACGGATTGACAATACGCCGAAATAGATTGGGGTTGAATTAATTGTGCAAACGTTGAATAGAACAATGTGAACTGTGTCTTTTTGCATAATTCGAAGCGAAAATCAACATAGTAAAGGAAAAATTCCATTTTGAGAAAGGGAAAATTAGGTACTTTTTAAAAACACTAAATGAAAAAAACACCTTTAAGGGCTTTTAAAAACGAAAATAAGCACCTTTGAGCACTTTTTAAAAACGCTACGCACCCTGTAAATAAATGAATGAGCAAAAGGAAGAATCAATAGTTAATATGGGATTCAATGAAATAGCGATTAACTAAATGGGTTATTCAATGAGTCCATCGATCAGTGAACGAATAAATTAAATGATTTATCAGTCTGTTATGGCTTATTCCGTATTTCGCAGCTTCATAGATTCGTTTTAAACATTAGTTTCATGCTTTTGAAAATAAAATTATCAAAAAATTAGACATCAATATGAATTTAACTTAAAATAATATGAATCTTGCCAGGATTTAGATTATTTCAAATGAAAAAAAAAAACTTCCTCACTCTTTTGACCAAGATCCCATGTATTCTGATAATGTTGGAAGAGGGTTTCTTAGTTTAACCAGCTGGGTTTGATCACCATTCAAAGTTTCAACCTGTTTTAAAAGATAACAATAAAAGAATTATTCTGGAAAATTGTTTTTCATTTTCTTAGCATTTATTTTAAGTTCGAAACATGTATCATTATTTTTTATTTTTGTTTAGTAACTTGAAATAGTAACTTTTGTTTAACTTGAAAAAAAAAATTAACTTTAGACATACGTACTAAAAAGTAAGTTTTATGGTTAGATTGGCTAAGTAATAAGTGTTAATCAATCAATCAGTAAACTTAAAATAATCACAATAATAATCATAATAATCGCAATATAATCATTGAATAAGCTAACAATTTTTTAACAATTAGGATTTGATAAATTTCTGAAATACAGGGAATAACGTTGGAATGAATAAATTCCTTTAAGTGAATTACAATTTTCTCAAATTAAAAACGTTTTCACACAATTATGAAATCAGTTTCCCTAAATAAAATTTTAATGAAAAACTAAAAATGTCATTTAATTAATTTAATAACTATCAAAAATTATTTTTTTGCAAAATTTAAAATATTTGTATGCATAAAAATTAAAATATATCGTTCATGAATACAAAAATATATCATGATAATTTTTATCATGCAAATTTCAATTGTTTGGAAATATTAAATCAAAGCATATATTTACCTTGTCAATGCCCAAAACTCTATAGTTAGTTCCTAGTAATATGCCATTAGCAAGTTTCTCNTCATTATAGAAAATAACAAATGTCTTAGAATATCTCGCAAAAAGAAATGATCCAATATTAGTTAGAGCTAGTAAGGCCAAACGCTCCGTTCTTGAAGTAAAAGTGCGAGCTTTGCGCCAAAGTTACGTCACTAGAGTGATGTCGGAGGATCGGCGCGGCGAGAGATACTTCAAAGGAGTGAACCAGCCTTTCTATTCTCTTTAGCCCTGGACATGACTACTAGTACTAGAAGACTTAACCAAATTTCATACACAAGTCTAAAAAGAAAGTTTTCATCCAAGTTGTCAGTATTTATTGTAAAAATGCTTTAATTTACTATCTGCTGAAATTCAAAATGCAAATAGTTTAAATAACTTTCAAAAACTCGCCGACCAGGTGGCCGAGTGGTTAGCGTGCCTGACTGCGGAGCCGATGATTCGAAGGTTGGAATCCTGCTCAGGGCATGGATGTTTCTTTCTCTCTGCGTTTTATGTCCTTTCTCCTTTGTGTGAATGTGACCCGCCCTATAAACTGGTCTGTGGTTGTGTGACGTGGGCGAAGCTGCTTCGCCACAGGTGCCCACTGGATAATGAGAAGAGAGTAGCAGTTCTGGCATTAAGAGGCCAATGGGACAATACATCCCAAGTGCCCGCCATTTTAAAAAAAAAAAACTTTCAAAAACTCCAAAACTTTTTCCACTTTTTCTTTACTTAATGAAAATATTTTATCACAGAAATTCTAAACACCCTTTATCTTTTTTTTATGTAAATCCTTATAATCATAATTACATTTTTGAGTTTTCATGACTGGTTTAACTTGCTTTAAAACAGCTACTCTTGCTTGCCATCCTTTAAACTTTGAAAATTAGATTCCTTTTTAAACTCTTTTGTGTTTTCCTTTATATGTGTTTATGTTTTTTTAATAATTATTTATCATATTATAATATATAAACTCATTTCTGTAATCACTAACATGGACCTAGAAATCCAAAAGTGATTTGAGCAATTTATTTCTTCTGTAATTGCTTGTTTCTTGATTTTAAATTGTATTATATTGAATTACAAATGCTTCATATTCATAACAAAAAAAAAATGCTATTTACAGGTTATATCTATCAAAGGAAGGAAAAAAATTGGAATTATGCAAAAAGTGAAATTTATATTAAGGGGTCCAAATTCTTAATAAATTAAAATAATTCTTAAATAATTCTTTCTCCTGACTAAACTATTGAGGCCATTTTTCTGAAAGTGAAGCTACTCCTCACATTTTGAGGATCAGGAATAAAAATTAATAAAAAAGAGAGGTATATTAATTCTGAGAAAGCATGTTTCCGTAACTTAAAATATCATCTGCATTAAGTTATTAGCCTATTTTGAGTCACCTTTTTAAACCAAGTGCGTGAAAATAGGATTACTGGATCAAAAGTGATTTAGGGTGTTACATTTTGTTTTCGTGCACTCTATTTACCAAATTTAATAAGTTTGATGCTTTTAAATTTGTTATTAGTCAGTGTTTTCACCATAGAAAAAAAATGGGTGAGAATTTCTCACCCTTTCTCAAAAACAGGGTGAGATTTCAGAAAGTTAAGTGAGATTTCCAAAAACTTAAAAAACACAAATAGACTTGGAAAAAAAATCCTTTCTTTTATTATAATACATTTTTAACGTCTTCTATTTTTTAAAGCATTGATTATTCTTGCTGCATCATCATAGAAGATTTTGCCTTTACTAGGTATTTGTCCCTCTTACATTAGTGCATAAAAATTTTGAAAAAACTTTACCTATGGTAAACACGTGGTTGCAGAGAAATGTGTTCTGAAAGGGGTTCCGTGGTTCGGTTGTGTTCTGTTGTTCGGAAAGGTTCTGAACAATACTGGTAAATAGGGAAGCTAGATAACGGAGCAAATGTTGAAGATAGTGAAAGATGTATAATACNAATAGCGTAATTCGAAGCTTCTTCCAAAATGTGAGAAATTCGCGAATTTTGAAATTGATTTATAGAATGCGCGAATTTCTCGCAGTAATAATTTTTTAATGCGAGAAAAGAAAAAAATATGCGAGATTCTCGCGTTCTCGAGCTGTAGTGAAAACACTGTTAGTACTTATTTGTAATTTCTACAAAATTATTATCTGCAAACGCATGTGTTGTTTAGATCTATAATATTTGTTAAGTTGATGAGATGTAGATATACTGGATTTGAGTTTAGCCCTTTCATTATAGCTTCAATCATCTTGTAGCTATTGCTGTAAGTTAAAGAGACAAAAATAATTCAATAAATAAAAAAGTTTGTGGTAACTTTTGTTACAAAAACTTAAAAATTACTCCTGTAACGAAATTAAATTAAGAATAATTTCAGATAAATTATAAAGATTAGTTTCAAACCATTGGCCATTGTGTAAATAGAGGTAAGCAGCACACTATACGGATATTTTTGATTTAAATTTTTTTTTTTTTTAGGTAAATTTTTTATAAGTTTAAGGTCACTCTTTTAAAATTTCAAGGAACAATAAAAATGAACCTTTTTTAATCACAGTAGTACACATTTTTAAAATCATTTTTTAAATATTAATTATATAAAAGTACTTACTGATATTATAAAAATACTTTAAATAAATTGGCCCTTAAAACCGGCATTAAATTAATAAATTTTTGGATAAAAAGTATTATTTTCTAGACCATTTACTAAAAACATTACAAAGAAATATCTGTACTGTTTTCTTTACACTTTTAACTAAAAAATAGAAGAAGAAATTCACCTATTATGTCTTACTTTCTGTGGAATTGCTTACAAATTTCTGTTTCCCTCACTGCATGATATAGGATGTAACAAGGAATTATAAAAATAAATTAGGAATTCTAAGATCCCACAAAATGCTAGTAGAAAGTAATTTGAAAATAAAAATACCTCATTATTATTCGTGAACTGAAAATATGTGTGAAAGTTTACCATTATAGCTCTGAAAATTGTAGCTGATATGCCTTCTGCAACTTCATATTCACCTCTTTCATTAGGTCGAGTAAAGTTATTTTCTAAGGAAGATCCAAACATCCTAAAAATGTTTAAAAAAAATATTTCAGAACTGGGTTGAATTCAGTCTTAATAACTTCAGATTAAATGAAAAAGAAAATATTTACGAAAATATAATGACTATCGGGTTGTTTACTTTATTAGAAATGTTAATATTTATTTTGATAAATAGCTTTAAAGAAAAAATAAAATTATAAGAATATTTGTTTGTGGTGTAATTACAATATTAACCTTTTTTATTCTTTGACTGTGGTTATAATATACAACTACTTTACACCTAGTAAAAGTTTTCGCGATCAGGTTAATGTATGAAATTTATATCTGTTATACACAAAAACTCAAAATTGTTGAACAGGAGTAAGAATTAAATTCTGAAACAATACTCTTTGTAAATTTTAAATATGAAACTTCGTAATTAAGACTGTTAGTATAGAAAATAGGGAACTCAATTTACCTAGATCTGGAAGAATCTTAAAAATAGAAAAAAAAGAGAATATTATGAGTTTATTTATTAAGGATTAAGAAATTATCAAAAGTATTCATCACATAATAGAAATGTATAATTACCTCCCAAGCATTGTATCTGGGTGAGCAGCAAATAATGCTGGATCCACAATAATACGGGTATTTTCTACAACAAGAGTAATTCGTTCATCACTGACAGATTGTGCATTAATTCCCTGATTGGCAGCAGGTAAAGCACTTGAATTGGCTACTGGAGCTGAGCAACTAGCTCCCATTGGAAATGCTGATAAACATGTATCTCTACCATGATTTCGAGCTGGTCCCAAAACTTGAAAACTTGGATGGGCCCGGACTCTAAAATAAAGAAAAGATACAATCAAAATGCTCAATGCAAACCATTAGGATGGCAAAAAAATTTTGCTTTGGGAATTTTGACTATTTTTAAAAGAAAAAATTAACACACCTTCTTACAAAAATCATATATACCGTAAGACATCTTCATATTTCTGTCACTTTTCATGTGTACATTAAAATAAATTTGGCTTTCTACCCTAATTTAAAAATTACAGGTAATACTGGTCTGGCTATACAATTGCAAAATACGAGGGTTGCTATTTATATTTCTGGTAATGAAAAAAACAAATATGTAGGATCGAAATTGGCTTTATTGTTTTTCAAAATATTCTCCATGATGATCAATACACTTTTGCATGCGTTTGAACCAATTTTCAAAGCACTTTTTCCAGTCCGATTGAGGTAACTCCAAAACATGCGTTTTGAATGCATCAACCGCTTCTTCGGGGGTCGAAAATCGTTGTCCACGTAATTTATTTTTGATGTGTGGGAATAAGAAGAAGTCATTGGGTGCCAAATCAGGGCTGTACGGCGGATGACCCATCAGTTCGATCTTTCGCTCCGTCAGAAAT